CATAGCACTCACATACTATGATTGTATATGTGTGTGCGTACATGTGTGTGAAGAGAACATAAAACACACTCTCTTAGAAATGTTATAATATCCAATAAACTGTTAACTATAGTTTTCAAATTGTACAACAGATCTTTTGAACATATTCCTGCTACCTAATCAAAAATTTTTATCTTTTGACCAACATGTCCCCACCACCTTATAATCACCATTCTACTCTCTACTTGTAGGAGATCAAAATTTTTTAGATCCCACATATAAGTGAGACAATGCAGTATGGGCCTTTTTATATCTGGGTTCATTTCATTTAACATGTCTTCCAGGTTCATCCACATTGTCACAAATGACAGAATTTCCTTCTCTTTAAAGGCTGAATGGTACTCCACCGTGTACATATAACAGTTTCTTCATCTATTCATCTKCGATGGACACTTAAATTGATTCCTTATCTTGGATAATGAGAATAATTCAATTCTGCAATTAACACGGGAATACTAATATTACTTTGACATACTGATTTCATTTTTTTTTTTTTGGATTTGTATCCAGAAGTGGGATTTCTTGATCGTAAGAGAGTTCTCTTTTCACTTAAAATAAGAACTTCCATACTGTTTCTATAATGGTTATACTACATTCCCACCAGTAGGGCAACAGTACATAACCTTGCCAGTACTTGTTTATTCAAGTCTTTTGCCCATTTTGTGATCAGGTTATTTGTTTTTTCACTGTTTGGGTTATTTAAGTTCCTTACGTATTTTGTATATGAACTCCTTATCAGATTTGTGGTTTACAAATATTTTCTCCCATTCTGTGGGTTTCTCTTTACTCTGTTGATTATTTCCTTGGTCAAACAGAAACATTTTAGTTTGATCTAATTCCAGATGTCTATTTTTGCTTTTTTTGCCTGCCCTTTTGAATTCATATTAAAAAAAAAAAAACATTGCTCAGATGAGACTAATATCAGAGAGATATTCCCGTTTTCTTCTAGTAGCTTTATTTATTATTTATTATCTAGGTCTTACATTTAAATCTTTGATCCACTTTGATTTTTGTATATGGTATGAGATAAAGGTTTAATTTAATTCTTCTGCATGCATGTCAATATTCAATTGTGTTAACACTATTTACTGAAGATGCTATCCTTTATATCTCTGGTTTACTTCATCTAAAATCAATGTTTGGATTTATGTTTGGACTCTATATGCTATTCCATTGGTTTAGCTGTCCTTGTTTATGCCAACACCATGCTATTTTGATTATTGTAGCTTTGTAATATAATTTGATGTCTCTGGTCTGCAGTCTCAAGTTTTGTTTTTTTTGCTCTCAGATTTACTTAGGCTATTCAGAATCTTTTGTGGTTTTATGTCAATTTCAGGATTTTTTTTCTGTTGAAAATGTCATTGTAATTTTGATAGCCACTGCATTGAATTTATAGATAGTTTGGGCAGTATCGATATTTTATGCATATTCATCTTCTAATCCATGAACATGGGGTTAGCTTTCCACTTACACTCAWGTCCCATATAACAAGATTTCACTCAACAGTAGATAATATGTACCATGGTGATCCTATAGATTGTATCTCTTAGTGATGTTGTAGCCACCTTATTTTGTATAAATACAGTCTATGATGTTTGCACATTGATGAACAATGCATTTCTCAAAATGTATCCCCACCTTAAGCAACACATGACCATAATTGGATTTTTCATAGTCATCTCACCTATCTCTAAAATGGTTGACAAAAGAAATTATATTGCATTTATCCTTATCAAACTTCAGCTCAGATAAACTAATTTAGAGAAAAAGAAGATCAGAAGTAATCAACTTTTAAAAAGTCTTGGGATTTCACATGGGTTCAACTTCATGTCAACCAAATATGTGAGGTAGAAATAAAAACAAAAATCAATGTAATTTAAAATTCTGACTAGTACAGAATTTAGCCTATCTGAAGTATTTTACATAACCCAAATTTTAAGACAAATCAGTGATAAATCAGAAGAATAGCTAAGTCTGTGGTGATTCCAGAAGATTGAAGGAACTAGAAATATCTTACAAGAGAAAAAAAGCAAATGAGGGAAATATTAATTTTAAAATATTTATTAAGCACATTTTTTAAAGTAGTAGAAAATGATAGTCTTACTTTTTCTAGGATATGTCAGAGAAGTAGGGATTAATCATAGAATATTAAAAATGAAAGTAGCAGAAAAAGATCAAAGCATAGAAGATAGGTTAGTTTTGCATACCTAAGATCTTCCTAACAATGTGAACTGTCCAAAAAAATATGAATGGACTACTTTAATAAATTCCCAGATATCAGAAGTATTTACACAAAAAACTATATGTCCACCAGTTAGAAATATTGTTGAGTGGATTATTTCAGTGGGAGACAAGACTAGTACAGAACAGTGTTTCTTAATCTGGGATCCTTGGTGCTACCTGAAATGGTGGTATGGAGTTGTGGAGTGGGAAGTGCAATTGTTGCTGTGCAAGAAAAATGCCTAAATTCAAAACCCTGGCTTCAACAAAACATTCCACTTATATACCCAGCTTCTGCAGTAGTATTTTTTGGAGGATTGTGGGTTGTGKGTGGACACAATACCTTTATTTTATATATTTATTTTTATGTGGTGCTGAGAATCAAACCCAGTGCCTCACTCATATCAGGCAAGTGTTCTACCATTGAGCTACACCCCCAGCCTCGCAATGGCTTTTATTAGCATATGTGGGGGTCATATTAAAAGAAGAAAGTCTCTTTCATTTTTAATATTCTATAATTAATCCCTACTTCTCAGACATATTCTAGAAAAAGTAAGACCATCATCTTATTGAGGGATTACTGCAAATATGATTAATGTCTATGATTTAAAAGCCTCCTTTTCTTCAGTAATGGGTCTTTCAGAGTGAATTAAATAATTGTGTCATCGATTCAATTTACCTATGTCAGCATAGCTTATATTGTATCTGAGGGAGATTTTCTTTCTCTGGAAAAATTTAACGTTTAAACCAAATGTACTTTACTTTAAAAATAAGTAGTACATGAAGAAAAATAAATCTTAAAATCTCATAAATCTATATATTTTAAATGTATACGTATATAAAGAAAAATTTGTAAAAGTTAATATATAACTAAATTTTAAGYGAACACAGGGTACTATCAAATTTTATATAACCTATTCAAAAGTAAAATAAATATATAATATATTAGAAACTAAAAAATGGAAAATAATATACAAAAGTTCCAGATACTTGAGCCTTTAAAATATTCATTTTAAATTTATATATCATTTCTTATTCATATTTATATCTATTACAGTGATCATAATAGTCAGTTTATAGGGACTTTTTTTAAGTGTATTTTTAATTACTGATCTTACCTAGTCTAGAAAATTAACACAAAATCTTACTGCTTCAGCTTTCTTGTGGTCTTAATCCCATTAAGCAGAATTCTTATCTATAGATCAACTAGGAACTAAATGTTCATTATAGTATTTTTCAAAAGTGACAGTAATATACGTGATTGTTTAGAAGTAATTCTGAAGGTTCACAGTATGTATTATGTATTCAGAAGAAGTAATTCTGAAGGTTCACAATCTGTATTTTGTATTCAGAAGAAGGCAGTCTAGCATGTAGGAGAAGTCCAATTACATGGTAGTAAGTCTGCAAAAATCACTCATCAAGGAAATTTCAGCACAGCCTTATTCTTTTCTGTTGAAAGTTTTCTATACATTTTGTGAGAGTATTGTGTACTAAATGTATACCAAATCAAGGGAAGTTGGGTCTTAAGATAAAAAGCTTGTTAACATAAGGCACACTAGGGTCTCCTGTGTTCTATATGGTTTTTGGTCAGGTATTATTTATAAATTTATGTTTATAGTTTTAAAATATGATCGTCACACAATATAATAACACTGAAAATACCTCAAAATACATCCATATCTTTGTTTTTATAAAAACATATTTTTAATAAAAAGCAATATATTAATGGCAGGAAACTGGGCAGGGGGGRAAAGTACAGCAATAACCTTCGAAGATGCAAAATAATCAACTTCAATAGAAAAGCATCAGTGATATTATAGACACCATTTTAACTGCATATGGTTAACAGAATTCAGATTTTGTTTTTCCTCCCATGTGAGTGCATCTCTTTGCTATGGGCCAATAAGACTACTACTCAAATGATCTAATGCTTAGTAAAACTTTGATGCTGTCAACATCAAAAAGTACAGAATACAAAAAGCCTCTAGATTACTCTTGGGAGATTCTTATAAATTCTAGTAACAAGGTAGATTACTATGATAAATTTAAAACTACGCTATTAACACTTTAAAGATTAAATTAAAAATAAAACATAATCATTAGTTTTCTTTTGAAGACTAGATAATGGGATTAATGTAAAAAGTCATTATTTTTAGTAAGATTTATACTATATAATTCTTGATATTTTTATAGATATATTTTTTAAATGTTAGATTTCAGAGAAAACATAGCTACCATTATTCCCCTTTAAATTTTAAGAGATATATATTTACTGATTAAGGAAAACTCAAGTCAAACATCTCTTTTACATCTTTTTTAACCTACTCAATGCCAAAAAATTTCAAAGATTTCTAATTTAAAGGAGTAGATGCTAAGAAATCAAAGTGCCTTGCCTGCTCTTTTATAAACTCATTAAAATATCATCTAGTAACCTTTGGGATGGGCTATCATTTAATTTTAAACTTTTATTATTATTTTTGGAAAACAACTTTGTTCTTGAACATGGCAATAAATATACTTGACATTTTTAACACATCCTAGAGATAGTGTAAAATTGAGAACAGAAATTCTGTTCTAGGAACAAAGGTCAAAAGATTATGCATTGTGAAAGCAGTTTTATGTTTCTTAAGATGTAGATGGCTACTATCTAAAACACACCATACTGTATTGTTTCTTAAAATTTCAAGATTTTATATATATATAAACTTTGAGGAGAATGAATAATACAGTAATGCTGTTACCTTTTAGCCGGTGACTTAGAATCTGTTCCAAAATAGCTGCAAAATTGTTAAATTCAGGAGAGGAATCATCAATTGTCTCAAAGCAAGATCGATCAATGAGGGTCTTCACAGAAAACCTAAGGAGGGGATAAAAAGATTATTGTTGCTTTTAGGCAGAGTTAATTCATTCACCATGTAAGTATAAAAAAACTGGGATAAAGGCAATTTGGGGAAGAATTATAGAAATATTTTATAAGATTGTATATTCTGAAAATCCTATTTATTCAAATTCACTCTGTAAATAGATAAATTCAAATAAAAACTAAGCTTTTCACTTGTACACTTAATATATGGTACGGTCTGAATATGTGCCTTCCCCAGATTCATATGTTCATATCTGAACCCCAAAGCAATAGTACCAAGAGGTGAAGTTTCTGGGAGGTGATGCTCTTTTATTGACATCCTTRTGGAAAAGGTCCAAGGGAGGTTGCTTGCTTCTTCTGCCCAGTAAGGATATACAGAAGGCACCAAACAGGAGCAATGTCCTTTACCAAACAATTAATCTGCTAGCACCTTAATCATGGTGCCTCCAAAACTGAAAAATACATTCATATTATTTATAAATTCCCAGTCTAAGGTACTTTGGTATAGCAGCCTGAAAAGTTTAAGATRCTACCTATTCACCAAACTAAGACTTTAAAATAGCTCTCTGGGGCTGGGGCTATAGCTCAGTGGCAGAACGCTTGCCTAGCACTGTGAGGCACTAGGTTCAATCCTTAGCACCACATAAAAAAATAAATAAATGCTGTCCATCTACAACTACAAAAAAAATTTTTAAATAAATATAAAATAGCTCTCTGTCCTCACAGTTATAAAAATCAGAATCAAAATAAGATCTAAACTATTAATTCCAAACTACTCAAAAGCCACAATTTGCTATGGTTTACTTATGATTTTTCAACTTTTTGATGGTGTAAAAGTATACTCACAAAATTATTTTTCACCTTCAGTACAGTATTCAATAAATTACATGAACTATTCAACACTTTATTATAAAATAGGATTTGTGTTAGATGATTTTGTTCAACTGCAGAAAAAAAGTAAGTGTTCTGAACATTTTTAAGGTGGGTGAAGCTAAGCTACAATGTTTGGAAGGTTGGGTATATTAAACTATTTTTTATTTATAACATTTTCATTTTATAATAGATTTATCAGGATATAACCCCACTTTAAGTCCAGAAAAATCTGAGAATTAGTAATAAATTTGATTTTGAGACTTCAGAGTTTTTGAACACAAAATAGAATAAAAAAGGATGTGAGCATTCATAAATTGCAAACCCAGTTTGTTTTTATTTTTGTTTTTATATCAGGGATTGAACACAGGGGTGCTTAACTACTGAGACACATCCCCAGCCCTTTTTTATTTTGAGACAGGGCCTTGTTAAGTTGTTTAGGGCTTCCTTAAGTTTCTCAGGCTGCCTTTGAACTTGCAATACCTCCTGCCTCAGCCAGAAATGCTGGTATTATAAGCATGTACCACCACAACTGCCTAAATCCAGATTTTTATAAGTTGTAGATAAGAAAAMCTGCACATCTATAAATAATACTTATATTTGTTCTTCTTATCAGAATGTCCTTTCTATTTCTGATTGTCAAAGATCAAAAAATTTTTAGGTCTCAGCTCAAACGCTATCTCTTCAATGAAGAATTATCTACCTTCATATTCCTAACACTAACTAGCATTTTGTTTACATCTCTCTTAAGAGACAATTACAGTTTAACTTACAGCCATTACTTGTGCTGCCTATCCCTATCTTGTTAAAATACAAATTCCTCCAGGGCAGAAACATGCCATCTGCATGGTGGTATCTTCCTCAGCACCTAGGACAATGTCTTCAACATTGTACTTAAGAAATACTTATTGATTTATTTGAAAATTCTGTAGTGAAAGAATGGCAAAGAAATGTTCAAATGCCTACCAATGTCGTGGCAAAATAAAAGTTTATTTTTTTAACATGTATAGATTTGCATATTCACCATCAAAATCAGGATACAAAACACTGTCACTTCTAACAATTCCTTTGTCCCGTGCCTTTATAGTTCTGCCTTATAGGGAAGACAGATCTGAGTGCCCAAGACAAACAGTGGGGAATGAAGAAGATTGCTAGGAGAACTGCTAAATTTTCCTATAAARGATATTATGTGCATGATAAAAACCTAAGATGGTGAATCTTAAAGCACCAAATTACTTTTAACTCAACGCCTGACTAAAAAACTAAAACAAAAACCAAATTCCAAATACCCTAAAGCATATTAAACACAACTTCTGTTATTTCTAAGTACAAAAAGGAGAGTGAAAAAGCATTTTAAATAATTTCTATTATATTAAGGTTAATAATGAAGAAGAAGAATATTCCGCAGCTTTGCTTGATCATATGTATTTAAGCTCTCCTATCAACATGAACCAAAACTTCAGAAGGCAAATCAGTTCCTCAGAATCTGTGTTTTACTTCCAACTATTTAAATCTTCCCACTCAACACTTACTGTTCTAAGTCATGTAGTTAGCTCCATTATGCCAGAGTAATGAGAATCTTTCTGCTATAACACAGCAACTAGTTAAGATGTGCTATAAAAACCAAACCTGTAAAAAGAATTTCAGTATGTCAAAAAATATCACACAGATGTTGAGCTATTTCCTGATAATGATGACATTAATATTAGTCATCTATTTCTTGAAAAGGAGTGATTTTTAAATAATAAAGTGACAATTTGATGAATATCTAAAAATACCAAATCAAATCCAAGTAACAGCTTTTTCATAAGAGTTAAAAAATRAAAAATTAACATAAAAGCAACTTATAATGAAATTTCTGAAATAATTTTTGAAATGTCTATTTCAAAATWTTTTTTCCATCTTCAATATTCACAGGAAATTTTTGTCAGCTTAGAAATAAAAGTGATTGGGTTGGGGTTGCAGCTCAGTGAGAGGTGTAGCTCAGTCTAGCACATGAGAGGCCCTGGATTCAATCCTCAGCACTACATAAAGATAAATAAATAAAATAAAGATATTTTTCCACCTACAATTTTTTWAAAAATTTTTAAAGAAATAAAAAATGATTATTAGTAAAACCTTCAAACCTCAAAATACGTGAATTATGTTTATCCCTTTGATAATACACTGAAGAGAAATGAGTAACAACACTATAAAAGATGCTCATTATAACTATATTAATTCCTTCCACAGTTTAGTTTTGTAACAATTGTAATTAAAAATAATGCAAAAGTATAACAACAAAATCAAAAATAATTCTTTTTTTACTTTTTATTGAAAAGAATCTATTTAAAAAGTAGAAATTCACCTCTAATATTTAAGGTCTCCTAATAGTAATACATACATATACAYTAACATACATAGAGATTGAGTAGGAAAAAAATCAAATAAGTCTGAAGATAACTAAAGTATATAAAACCATCTAGAACTGTCACATTTAAAAATGGTTCAGAATAGTCATTAAAATTTTTTAAATATACCATAAGTATCCAAATTCTTTCTCAAACATTTTCTTAATTTAAAAAAATTTTTAGTTGTAGATAGACACAATACCTTTATTTTATTTACTTATGTAGCGCTGAGGATCAAACCCAGTGCTCTGTGCATACAAGGCAAGTGYTCTACCACTGAGCCACAACCCCAGCACTAAATATTCAAATTCTAAGAGATTTCTTACTATTATTTCACACCCAACTTATAGGATTCCTTATACTGTATCCTTATAATTAGCAGAGTAAACTATTCTCTGCTATTAAAATAATAGCCATCATCAACAATCAACAAGGAGTTGACAGCCAAGAGATATGACAATATAGAATATTGACTACAGGTGATAAGAGCTGTTCAATGGAAGGCTTATTTTCTTTGTCAGATTTTACATCAGAAATTTTTAAAATATTGAAATTAGTAACATGCCTTCTTTTTGAAAGAGTTATGCAAGAATTCACAAACATTATGTGTATTTTTCCATTTTTTGTATGATATAAATAATTTTAAAATGAGAAAAAATGCTTTTAATGTATCCTTTTGGCAGAAATCTACAGATTGTTATCCATACAGCAAATTCAACTATTTGCCTGATTCTGAAAATAAACATTTACTGGAATAACAACAAAAAGTTCCAACCATCTTTCCTTAAGTTTGTACCCCCAAACTCAAAAGTCTCTATTCTATCATTTTAAAAAAAATTACCTAATGTAAAAATTCCTTACAATGTATCCTTATAATTAGTAGAGTTAACTCTCTTGAAAGAGAGAAGTAGTATATTTTAAAATACATACCCTATCTGAACTTTCAAAATTTAAAATTGTTCATCTGAGCACCTGAGCTGAGGTTGTGGCTTGCTCAGCTCATGCAAGGTCCTGGGGTTGTGGCTTGCTCAGCTCATGCAAGGTCCTGGGTTCCATCCTCAGCATCACATTAAAAAGATAAATAAATAAAATAAAGGTATTGTGTCCAACTATAACTAAAAAATAAATATTTTTTAAAAAGAAGGAGATACTATAGTATTAACATCTTATCTTGCTATATAAGCAGATTTATTATTGGAGATTGTTCAACTTGACAATGAAGCATAATGTTAAAAAAAAATAGAAGGCAAAATTTCCCCTCAAAAATTTTTTTTTCTAAAATTAGAAATCTATCAAAAMAAAAAAAAACTTTCCATTTTTAAATCAGTTAACTGGTTTGACCTTATATGTAAGAACACCCAACTACAATTGTTTAAACAAAGAACATTTTAAGATGGATGTGGTATAGTCCCAGCTACTGGAAAAGCAGGAAGATCCGTTGGGACTACAAGTTTGGGACCAGCCTGGCCAACAGTAAGACTATGTCAAAAAAAAAAAATTATACACTTGGATCACATATCCTTTTGAATCCATCTGTTCTTTATACAAAGGCAAAATATTCAAGTAGAAATACCACAAGTAAACCACACTGTAAATTACACTCCAAAGAAGCAGCAGAGCAATATAAAGAACAGGGGTTTGGGCACTGAAAGATGCTTGGACTCATACCTGGCTCTTGTTCAGTCCTTGTCAAGATACTGAACTCAGGTTCTTCAGTAACTAATTACCTAATGA